TTCGATCTCTACGAATAAATCACGTCGGAGTAGCGATCCTTCGTCTTCGCCGATAGCTAGATAGTGACGGCGGCTTCTCGGTGGTTTTCCGACTCCAACAACGGTGGTCAACTTCGATGGTTCAGAATGGATGGTGGCGGCGACCGGAGATGAAGGGAGACATAAGGAGGGTGGCAGATGTGTTTAGTTTAGGGTTAGCGTTACCGAGGTTGATGGGTGATATACCCCGACTCACATAAACTTCATTCCATAATGACGCAAATGGTCCTTCCTTCTCCTTTTTCTTTCAACTTACGTCCGTAATTTACCCTTTTAGCCCCAGCCTCTAAAAATCCTTTCATAACAAGCCCAATATTCTACCAAACAGCCCCACCTCTACAAATTATTTTCAACTGAAGTCCATATATTACCATTCAGCCCCTTAGCGTCCAAAATCTTTAAATTTAGGTCCAATATTACCAAACACTCCCTGACCTCTGAAAATCTTTACAAAATAAATCATGTTATTACACTTTTAACCCCCAACGTCCAAATTAAATTATTTAACCCCCGAATAATCCAAATTATAACATTTGGCTCCCCGAAAACAACACTCCACTAAATATTATGGATTTTTGGGCTACTCTTCATTCATTAATTTTATCTATTTGTTTATCTAATAAACGAGATGTTACAATTCTTCCCCACTTAAATTAGATTTCGACCTCGAAATCATTCCTTACCATCCTTGTCACGCCAAACCACTCAAGTGACATGGCCACAATCCCGAGCACAACCGCAACCTTCCCAAGGCAATCAAAACCAGCCCTCACAGGTTTTGACTATGAGTAAAAATAATACTTTTTCTGAGTTTAGAAAGTATAAAACATAGTTTAAAAGTGTCATCCTGACTCATACTTGTCTCCAACATATAGTATATATATCCTAGGTATAATAGTTTACTTATTAAATAAGTGATATACCTAAAATCTCCATATACTTAAATCAAGGAAGGTTACTACATATAAATATTATTTCAATTCTATACGGGTATATATATACTAGGTATAATCGTTTACTTAATGAATAAGTAAAATACTTATAAATTCCTTGTACCTAGAGTATAAGTGTTTGGTAAACTTATACTTAACATTCATACTTGTATATCGACAAAGTATAATGCTTCTAAAATTGTGCTACCACGTGTCCATAACCGTTGCTATATGACATACAAGACCTTTGAAAAAAAAAATCCCACCAATGGTTCCACGAAGGATTCTACCATTGATGCCAATAAAGATTATGCTCAGGGTACCACGAAGGATTCCACCAATATAAAAACACCGTGCGCTTCATCGACGTCAGATCAATAAAACAAATAAAAGGACAGTTCGTCACTCGCCAAATATTGGGTTGTAGCTAGCAACCACGAGTGGGGTTGTCAACCCGTATAGTTTCATACACGACTTCCTCGCTCACACGGGATTAGCGGTTACAAGTCAGAGGATTTCCCCTAAGGTTCTCAATGTTAGTTGATGAATATAATAACTCATGTAGACTTTGTCGAATTCCTAAAGTTCTAATAGTAAAAGCATATTCGTGTATAAAACCTTAAGTTACTAGACTATGCTTTAAACATTACTCCTAATTTCATAATACTTAGGCAGTACAACAGCTATAACTTGAAATAAAAACCAGGTTTTATCTAACATAAAACCAATAATAGCAACATACTTAACAAGTATATATAGAACTCCCGAATATAACTTCAGGGCTATATTAGTAACATACCAGATTTTATCTAACATAAAACCAATAATAACAACATACTTAACAATTAGTATATAGAACTCTCGAGTATAACTCCGGGGCTATAACAAAATAGTATATAGAACTCCCGAGTACAACTCTGGGGCTATAACACAATTTAGTATATAGAATTCCCAAGTATAACTTTGGGGATATATTAGTAACATTTATGATGACAACATGCTAACAAGTTTAAGATAGTTGTATGTTTTCAATATATCAAATATATTCTAGGTATATATGATACAAAACAACTATATCCCGATTAATATAAGTATCTATGTTGATATGAATATACTATCATATAAACTTAATATTAACTTTTATACAATATTTAGCAAGCATTTCCCCCGAAAACATTAAAAAGTGGGGCCGTGAAACTCACCCTAGTAGCGTGATCTATACAATCTAACTGAAAAACGGTCAGAGGCTCGTCGTTGTTAGGCTCGGGAAGGGAAAAGAACTTCGGAAAACGAGAGAGAATGAACGTAAAAGGTGTGACAATTGAATGCGCCTCGATTGCTATTTATAGGATGCTTTGGGACCTCTCACGTCGTGAGAAATCAATGACCACGTCGTGAGGCCTGGCTGCATCACCTCGTAGACTTGCCATTTGCATTTCTAGCTTCGAAAGGTGTCCGGATGACATCTCACGTCTTGAGGATGATATGCTCACGTCGTGAGGTTCCATGAGTCATTCCGTAGCCTTCCCAGGTGTTTTCTAGCCTCGATTAGTGTCCTGGATCATTCTCATATCGTGAGAATACATGCTCACGTCGTGCGCTCTGACAAATTAGGGTTTCTGCTACGTGTTATGCTCTCAGACTGCTACATCTTCAGAATATCATAACTTTTGCATACGAGCTCCGTTTTTGACGTTCTTTATATCTACGTGTAGGTATTTCCGAGTACTACAACTTTCTTTTAGATTCCAATAGGTAATTCTAAGTCTATTTCAAAATCCTCTTGTTATAGAGGCTATAGTGTTAGAATTTATCATAACTTCTTCATGCGAAGTAAATTGATTAGACTTGTAGTGTTGAATGAAAATTTCATTAAAGATTAAAGTAAATTGATTATAATATGTGTTTGTTATATTTATGGGAATTATCTTTTACCTAATTTTGACTGGTGTTATACCTGTGTATATGTCAGAGTTAATGAGAGTATCATTGTATTCAAAGTGTTGTATGTTGATGACATACACTCATAGGAAACATTGGTCATGCGATGGAAAATGTAACAACTTGGCTCGGGAAATGTTTCGCTATGAAAGACTTAGAGGAAACAACATACATACTTGGTATTAGTATCTACCAGGATATATCAAAACGTTTAATAAGACTTAGTCAGAGTACATATATGGATAAAGTGTTGAAAAGATTTAATATGAAAAATTCCAAGAAAAACATCGTTCCAATGCATCATAGCGTGAAATTGAGTAAGACTCAATGTCTTAGTTCTATTGATGAACATTAGAGAATGAGTCAAGTCTCATATGTTTCGACTATAAGATCGATCATGTACGTTATGACATGTACTCACACTGATGTGTCATATACCCTAAACATGGTGAGTTGATATCTAGAAAATTGGGGACTAAGTCATTGGACGGCTATCAAGAACATTCCAAAGTATTTGAGAAATACAAAATACATGTTACTATGGTGGAGAATAAGAGCATGTTGTTAAGTGGTGTAATGAAACAAGTTTCCAAATAGATAAAGATGATTCAAAGTCACATACTGGATGGGTATTCGCATTGAATGGAGGTGCGGTGACATGGAAAAGTTTCAAACAGGAAACAGTGGTAGACTCTACACGTGAGTCTGAATATATAGCTTCAAGTGAAGCGTCCAAGGAAGCTACATGGATCAGAAACTTCATAAGCGACATTGGAGTTGTTCAATGTAACAAAGACCCATTAGAGAATAAAAGGAAAATGCATTGGGTTTCTTGTGACGTTGGGGGTCTTGGAGTGGGGAGTCTTAGATCGATGAACATTGCTCTTCTTTCGAAATGGCGGTGGAGATTAAAAGTTGAAGATAATTCCCTTTGGTCCTCATGTATTGAGACAACTTATAAAATTAATTGTACCGATGGTGAACCGTTAGCAAAATGTGGCATCGCGGGAACTTTGGCTTTCTATATATCAAATTAATAAGGAACTCGACGAATGAGATTTATCTCTTCATCATAATTTCTATAGGAAGATGAGGGATTAAAATCTTACTCACTTTTGGAAAGACAAGTGGTGTAATGATCATACCTTTAAAGAGTCTTTCCGAAATTATATATGCTTAAGACAAACAAAAACGACATGGTCTCAGAGAGGTTTACGAGAGTTGATGAGGTTGTTTTTCAGGGGAATTGGAATAAACTACCTTGTAAAGACATGGAGACCAAATAGTTGAAATGTTTAATTTTGATACTGATGGCTACCTGTTTGTCCACTGCTCTGGAGAAATGGCTTTAGAAGGCGGATGTTTTAGGTTTGTTTTCGGTTAATGGTGAATAAATTGGTGCTTGACAGCCGTGTTCATGGTTTTAAATGGATAAGTCGGGTGCGATTGTTAATAAATAGACTTTTGAGTGGCTATTGATCTTTTGAGGAGAGATATTAACTTAATTTCTACTATGTGTCATTTTTGTAAAGGTGACTAGGAGGATGTTGAATATATATATATATATATATATATATATATATATATATGTGACATTTTTGTTGTCATTTGGAATTGATTTATGACATGGATTGGTGAAGTGCATTTAATTTCCAAAAGCACATTGGAGTTGGTCGATATTTTGAAAGCCTCGTTTCAAAGAAAGAAAAAGGAACAAACTTAGATCGACTTTATTTTAGTTTTTGATTTGGATAATTTGTAAGGTTCACAATGTTTTGGTGTTTAATAGAAAGAGATGCTATCATTTTAAAGCGACGGATGATATTTGGTTGGTGGCGTACAAATGAATCAAACATAAATCATCGTTCAGTTTTATTAATTGGTTTGACGGATGTATTTATCATTTTAATGCTTGTAATTTGAAATTTTGTACTTTGGTTTTGTTCTACCGTCTCCCTAATTGTTTAATGCCTGTTAAAAATAAAAATTATTGTTTTTGTTGTTCTTGTTTTTTTTTTTTTTTTTTTTTTAAATTTATAATATCATATAAATGTAGACCACTTGAGACTATAAAAGTAAACAGCCGCAGCACTCACCAGTGACTAGACTCCTCTCTCTGAGATACAAAACCAAAAAACTCATCAAAGGTCAACAAGCTCCTCCAAAAAAGAAACCAGAAAGAGAAAGAGAAAGAGAAAGAGAAGAGCGTTCATCTCTCTCTCTACTCCACGGAAGTTCAATTAATGGCCGCCAGTAGCAAGAGTAAACGCTGAATCTACAACCTACCCATCATCATTAACTGTAGAAACCCCCATCTTTCTTCCTTCATCCCTTCCTTTCGCTTATTTCTCTCTCTAAAAACCCTCCTCGGTATTCGTGTCAGCCATCTACTCTCTTCAATTATTCTTCAAAACCCACATCCCATTGTCCGATTCATCTCCTTTTGCTCAATACCCACATCGAGATCTGTTTTCCTGAAGGTTTTTTGGGTGAGAGAATGGGAAGTAAATGGAGGAAAGTGAAGATGGCTTTGGCGTCTAATTTATGTGTTTATGTGCCCACGGCTGATACAGACGATTCTCCGCCGCATTCCGATGGGTTTTCCGATGCAGCCTTGTTGTCTCCCTCTCCGGCGGGGTGGAGCATGAGTGGCTCTGCTACTCGACCGGCGTCTCCCAGTTTACGATTGTCTAAAAGCTTCAACAGATCTTCTAAGGTTTATTTTATTGCTTATATATTTAATTTATTGTTAAACATTTGACCATCGAATCTTGGATTTGTTTATTATCTATCAGAAATTTGATTATCCTGTTTTTTCCTTTATTTTTCTTGGTGGCAGTTTTTGTTTTTTTCTCTGGTTTGTTGATTAAAAAGAGAAGAATAAAATTAAGTCAAATTAACTTCCAAAAGAGGACCAAAATCAAGGGGGAAAAAGGTGAAAATGAAATCTAATGATAAAAAATAATTTAATTTAATTTTCTGGGTTAGATCTTATGCTTCCATTGCTTTAAACTCTAAGCTTTTCTTGTTGAATTTTGCTTTATTCCCCTAAAAAAATCTACAGTGGAGCACTAATACACAGGAAACGAGAATATTATCATTTTTTTTTCAAACGCATGTTTTAAATATCGATATCACTAATTTCTCTCTTCCCTTTGTGAGTTTGAAGGTCAATCCTTAATTTCTTGTGATCATTCATATGTTTTTCGTTCCTTGGGTTCCATATTCGTTTTAAACCAGCAAATAATAAAAAACGACTCCTTAAAAGGACCCAGAAAACAAAAATTAGAGTACCCTAATTTTTCGAATTTGATTGCATCATGCTTGATTGAACTCTTGTGAACCTTTTAATATTTTTATATGTGTGAACATTTGAAAAAAATGCATTTTTTGAGGGATATGCTCCAGTTAAAGAGGAACATATTTGTATGGTAATGGGTTCTTTTGATGCTATCCAACTTTTCAAGATTTTATTTTTTGTTATATTATTTAATTTCGACTTTGCCAATATGAACTTGTGATATGCTGATTCGATTACAAATCGCTCTCATGGGCACTTAAAAGATTTTTGCTCAATAAATTAACTAATTTAGCAACTATTCGTGCTTTACATTTCCTTTTCACTATATGATGATATGATTCCTCTTTATGAAAAAGTAAATATTTAGACTTGTGGTTGGCCTCATTTGTTGACTATCAGTTTCTGGGCCTCATAAACCTTGTAATCAAATACATGAATCAAGAAAGATGAAAGAAAATCCAAAGACAACCAAACATCTGTCTTCTTTGACATCTTATAATGCACTTTTTTCTTGGTTTTGGGTTGTAGTTGTTGTTTGTGTTCCTCTTTGTTGTCTTGCATATTGTCTTGTAGCTGCTACACTGAGTCTTGTTTTGACTTTTAAATGTCAAACAAAATGCTTTTTGATGTCGAAATTGGTATAAAATTGTTTAGTTTTGTGATTAAATTTTTGAAATTCAAAAGGATCATTATCTCGAGCTGTTTACGGTTTTCAAGAAGGTTAAAAGCGTTCAAAGGTCATTTCTATTTTTGGTAATTATCCGATTCTCATTGTATTTGATTCACTAATAGTATATATATGTTGTTTTATGACAGAAAACATGCACAATATGTTTAGCTTCAATGAAACGTGGAGAAGGACAAGCCATATTCACAGCAGAATGTTCACATTCGTTCCATTTCCAGTGTATTGCTTCAAATGTGAAACATGGGAATCACATTTGCCCTGTTTGCAGAGCAAAATGGAAAGCAGTTCCATTATTGGGTCCCACAAATTCCGGCCCTCCATTAGGAAGAACAAGAATAAACCCTGTAAATTGGTCACAAGACAATCCAGTAATGACCTTACTCCGCCCAAACAGCCCCCGCCACGTCACCGCCACATCACCGATTTTCCCGGGCCCCGAACCACCCGTTTTTAATGATGATGAACCGTTAAACCTTAAATATTCAAATAAAACTCGCTCAGATTCAGACAAGTCTTTGTTAAAAAGGGTATCAGTCAAAACATACACCGAGGTCCCATCAGTTCCTCAGTTTACTTCTGTTGATGATTTCACTGTTTTGATCCACCTCAAAGCTCCAGCTTCTGTTTCAGGGGTTAAATCAAGTAACACAAACCAAGGTCAAAGTCAAGGTCCCACCTTTAGTCAAGTTAACCAGACCCCACGTGCCCCGGTTGATCTTGTCACTGTTCTTGACATCAGCGGTAGCATGGCGGGAACAAAGCTTGCTCTTCTGAAACGGGCCATGGGTTTTGTGATACAGAATCTCGGGCCTGCTGATAGACTGGCGGTGATTGCATTCTCCTCCTCTGCCCGCCGCCTCTTCCCCCTCCGGAAAATGTCGGATTCCGGGAAGCAACAGGCTCTCCAAGCTGTCAACTCATTGGTGGCTAATGGCGGGACCAATATTGCTGAAGGTTTAAGAAAAGGGGCGAAGGTTATGGAAGATCGAAGGGAGAACAACCCGGTTGCTAGCATAATCCTGTTATCTGATGGACAAGACACTTATACTGTAAATGGAAATTCCAATTCCGGTGGCCGGAAAAACCAATTGACCTATGAATTACTTGTTCCGAGGTCTATTGAAAACTCCGGAATCAAGATTCCGGTCCATGCGTTTGGGTTTGGAACGGATCACGATGCTTCTTCGATGCACTCGATCTCGGAGATTTCCGGTGGGACGTTTTCGTTTATTGAAACGGAAGGTGTGATTCAAGATGCTTTTGCACAATGTATTGGTGGACTTTTGAGTGTTGTGGTGAAAGGTGCGAAAGTGATGATTGAAAGTGTGAACCCTAATGTTGTTCTCAGATCTTTAAAAGCTGGAAGCTACAAGAATGAGTTAATGGCAGATGGGAAATCTGGATGTATTGATGTTGGGGATTTATACGCTGATGAAGAACGGGATTTTCTTGTTTCGGTCAACATCCCGACAGAGTTGACTTTAAACGAGACTTGTTTGTTGAAAGTTGGATGCCATTACACGGATCCGTTGACCAAAGAGACAGTCAACTTAGAGAGTGAAGATGTCAGGATTGAAAGAACCGAAAAGGTTGGTGAACAGGTTGTGGTACTGGTATCCATTGAAGTTGATAGACAAAAGAATAGGTTACAAGCGGCTGAAGCCATGGTACAAGCGAGAGCTGCAGCTGAAGAAGGTGATTTGTCAAATGCCATTTGTACCCTTGAGAAGTGCAGGCGGGTTCTGTCTGAAACGGTGTCGGGTAAGTCAGGTGACCGGCTGTGTATGGGTCTGGATGCTGAGCTCAAGGCCATGCAGGAACGAATGGCGAGCAGACACATGTATGAAGCATCTGGAAGGGCTTATATATTGTCAGGGCTAAGCTCACACTCATGGCAACGAGCCACGGCTCGTGGTGACTCCACAGATGGCTCGAGCCTGGTTCAAGCGTATCAAACCCCATCAATGCTTGAGATGTTGACTCGATCTCAAGCTTCTCTTTTGGGCAGCAGCCTTGGTTCGGGTCAGGGTCAGGGTCAGAGAGTGGTTCGTCCTGTTTGGTCATTTGCATCATCGCATTCACAGCCCAAACCAAGGTAAAGTCAAAAGTGTTTAACATTTTGTTTTTCGAGGGGGGTAGGAAGGAAGGAGGCGCGATTTTGGGTGTTGATATTTCGTGCTTTTTTTTATGTAAAGCAATAAATAAAAATGGGGGTATGTTTAAGATTGGGGGAGGAGAGGGTATAAATGGTGAAAGATAAGGGGTTAGGATGGTTGATTTTGTTTTTGTGGTTTAAATGTTTTTCCTTGTGTAATTTTTGGGGGTGATGTACATAAGGAGAAATGGTTTTTTTTTTTTTTTTGGGTATAAGTTTGTAATTGTGGGGGGATGATTGGGGGTGATGGGTTTGGTTTTATTTATTATGACATAAAGAGTTAAGTTAAGACGCCTATAATATGTGATTCTTTCTTTCGCAACTTTTATGTTTATCGTCTTTTTTTTTTGTTACTTTCATATGGGGTTTGACCTTTTTTCCATGCAATTGGGTGGATTATAAAAGATAGTGAGAGAGATTGAAGTTTTGACCTTTTTTTAGTACTAATGTCCATCTTTTACTGCATGATGTACAAGTCAATGTAGAGGGAGGGCCAGTGCAAAGATCTTGTTTTGTTGCCCCATGTCTCGAAAGGGGGAAAAGGTAGTTCTTGAAGGTTGGGCCTTTTCTTTTATATATAGGTATAACTTTGAATGCATAGGTTAAAAGATGCAAAATTTGATTCATAACATACAAGTCAGTAATGCATAAGGTACAAGTTGATATACATGGTATTGTTAAAAAGGTAAATAGCATAAAAAAACACTCCGTTTACATCAAAATTTTAATTTGACACCGTGTTTTTTTTTGTCTCAAATTTGACACTGTGTTTTTCAATTTGTTACAATTCTGATCACTTGACCGGTTAATCAGGTTACATGCTAACGTGTCAGTTTTGATGATGTGGCATGCTGACATGATATGCTGATGTGTCAAAAATGAATTTTTTCCCACAAAAAACAGTAAGTTTTCACTTTTTTTTCGATTTTGACACTAAGTTTAATTTTTTCTTTCAATTTTGACACTATGTTTTTTTGTTCCAAATCGAACATCATTTTTTTCAATTTTGACCATTTTCTATTTGAAACCGTATAAATATATTTTTTTATTACATTTTAAACCGTATAAATATATATTTTTTGTTTAAAAACCACATTATATATATTAAATCCAAAGGAGCTTAGGAATAGTACCTTTTTAGGTTTTAGGTTTTTGCCACAAAAGTTTATTGAATTTGACACTTTTAGTCCCTAAAGTCAAAATTTTTATATTTTTGCCTTTTAATTAAGTTTTTTGTGTCTTAAGGTTTTTGCCACAAATCTTTAATGACTTTTGACACTTTTAGTCCTTGCAGTCAAAGGTTTTATATTTTGGTGTTTTTGCCACAAATCTTTAATAAATTTGACACTTTCTGTCATTGTAGTCAAAACTTTTACATTTTGACATAAAAAACACAGAAAACTCACCATATTTTCTCAACTTTGACAACTTTAACATTATTGCCACAACATTTTTGGATTTTCTACACCAATGTCCCTTCTTTTCGTTGTACACTTTTGACATCTAATTTTAGGGGTTGTCGACTTTCTCCCCTATTTATGGTGATTTACAATTTCAACACATATTTTTTAAAGTTAGCCGATTTTTTCCATATTACCCCAAAAGCGGCGTAGCCGTTGGTTCTTTACTAGTTTTTATTTAAATACAAGGTTTTTTTTTTTTTTTTTTTTTTTTTTTTTTTACATTTAAAGTATAATGTGTAAATATGCATTAGTTATATCATGAGAATCAAACTAACCATAAGCTTCTAATAAGATGTGAAAATTTCAAGGGTTGTAAACTTGACATCCGGGTGTTAATCGACTACACGCCTCCAAACCTACAAACTCATTTTAAAGTTGCGTATTTAATATAAAATACGGTTTTTATATAACTAATACATATTTATACATAAAATTATGGTTTGAATGTAAAAAAAAACTTGTATTTCTACAAAACTATGGTTTTTAATTTAAATGGAAAATTGTCAAAATTGAACAAAAATTGATAAATGATGTTCGATTTGGAACAAAAAAAACATAGTGTCAAAATTGAAAAAAAATTAAACTTAGTGTCAAAATCGAAAAAAAGTGAAAACTTACTGTTTTTTGTGGCAAAAAAAATTCAATTTTGACACGTCAGCATATCATGTCAGCATGCTACATCATCAAAACTGACACGTCATCATGTCACGTCAGCATGTAACCTGGTTAAACGGTCAAGTGGTCGGAATTGTAACAAATTGGAAAACACAGTGTCAAATTTGAGACAAAAAAAACACGGTGTCAAATTAAAATTTTGGTGTAAACGGAATGTTTTTTATGCTATTTACTCTTGCCTTTACGGAAAGTGAATTGAATTGTTTGGTTTATTTAAGTAAAAGGTACAAACTCCAATACGAAATTTGTAAGCAAGGTACCACTTTTGATGCATAGGATACAAGTACGTTGTGGCAAAAGGTGTACGTAGGTTTGGCGTTTTCATAGGATACAACTTGTGATGCATAAGGTACAAGTATTGGTTTGGTGTTTTTAGCATTGAAACAGAAAAAGGGTTTACCATGCATGAGAAATAGAAATGGAAAGTGAAATTGATTGGATGATTGATTTGAGGATGAGGATGAGGCTGATTGAAAAAGGAACAACTTTTGATCACATTGTTCACACATGGGTGGCCCATGTCACGATGGTGTAACATCATCGTCATGGACTGCTTTTGATGCAGGTGTTTTACACTACACTAAGGTCTATGCCTATGGTTTCCAAGTAGGCAAGTACGCTTGTTTGTACTTCATGCATTGGAAGCTTGTATATTATTCATTTACAGTGTTCATTGCTTTCGATATGTCAATTCTGAAATTGTTTATCGATGGTTGTATCTCCCACCAAAAATTCATGAGAATGCACAACATCAACTATTCATTTGTTATTGTTGATATATTTTCTCGTATCCTTCAACAAGCAAACAAGCATACATAATCATTAAACAAATGCCAAGTTTTTATAACAATAAACAACTTATATATCACAACTTTTTGTATTGAACTCTTTAGAATTAAATAGATTATTATTTTATTTTCCATGACTTTACCAAAAAATTTCTACATACATTTAAGAATTAAAACTTTTTTTTCCTTTGAAGAATTCAAAGACTATTTAACTCCATATAATGGCACCCTATAATGGTAATGTTTAATGAATTGAATGTTAATTAGGGATGTCATTTCTTTCGTTGTTTTATTAAACAATGCATTGTGGATGCTCTTAATCCTTAAACTTATAATTTTTTGTCATCATTTTGGACAGCAATTATTAAAAAATGTATACGAAGAAGATATTTGTGAATTTTGACAATAATATATAATAGCTAAAAACCTTCTAAAAAAAGAAGAAATTTATATGCCTTAAAAGAACATAGTTTTAAGATATGATTCAAACCTTTCCTAATAAATAAAAATAATTTTGACACTTGTCAACTTCTAATGCATTATACCAAATGACTTTTTCTTATTATTTTCAGTATATTTTTTTCCACATGTTATTTTATGGTTTTTCTTTTTTATTAAATTGCAGATAGTATTTAAGTATAATAGTAAATGCATAGCAATTTCATTAATTGACTTTTCTTTATAATTTCAAAATTATTAAATTAAAGTCTCATTAGTTTCTTTGTTTATTTATCTAAGTTATTTGTTTAAATTTAAAAGAGAAAAAAAACTTTAATTTTAATAATTCAATATTTTTTTTCACTTTTTCTTATAAATTCAAACTTTTCAAATGTTTAGAATTTTATATTTAATTTTCTTTTAAATCAACACATATAATACATGACTTTTGCATCTAGCTAGTCTGATCTATAACAAAGTTAAAGCCGATCCTAAAATTTTGTTACTTTTGGAAACAAACACAAACCGTGTGGCATGTGATGTGTTTCACCAAATGAGTCGATTCTGGATTACTTACGATTTTTTGGTTTCAGTTATGTGCATAACCTAATTGAAAAGAAACAGGGACAATGGATCCGTATTTGTAACATTTTATAACATCAGGACTGTAAATGTATTTAGCAAAAAATAATTTTCACATGAAGAAGAAAGCGAAACATCATCGTATTCATTTCCTCTGTCTCTGTTCATCCAATTACAAGACTGTAATCAGTAATTACTGTGCCAGTTGTCTTGATTTAATGTTAAAGTTAAACCATGGTGCTCGAGGATCGTTATTGATCAACTCTGAATTAAATTTTCAAAGGGCTCAATTCCTTTGGTTAAAATGAGTTAACTGGATATTGTTTAGTGATCCCGGATCCGATAATATTATAAGTTTAATTGACTACAGTTGATTGGGGGAAATTTTCTATAAGCTTGTGTCTACTGTATTGATATTGTGGGAGGTGGATATTCAACCACTCGTTGTTTTGGTAATACTGACAATCTTCTTTTGTTCTGCTTGCATGTTTTTGTAATGTAAAAGGAGTTACGTATTTTCTTTGTTTTACAACAAAACTAAAACATGTTTAGCAAGAATGTTACGTTTTGGAAGAAAAAGAGAGGAAGAACATTTAAGAATTAAAAGACAAAAAAATGTATTTTGTTAGTTTTTAATTAATATATTTTGAAAATGGTTTAGTATTTGTTGTAACAAAAGACCTAAAACTGTTAAATTATGGGGACATGCATGCATGGAGCAGAAACAAGAAAGTGATGCAGTGAAGGGACTAACCAGTGTCTCAGATGTACTTGAGCAGCCCCATTTATTTTCTTCATATCGTACATAGTGGTGGTGTCGTATCCAAAACTTGCTTTTTTAAAGCAAAGCAAAACATTAATTAAGAAGAAGCAAAAACTGAATGTTTCATATATGGCAGAAAACCACCTTTTTAGGCCATGCTCCATGATTCATTCTGTTTGTTTCCAGCAGTGTTAAAATTGAAATCAATCAAACTCAAAATAAACACAATCTTAAGCAGATTAATTTTATGTTTAACAAAATCTAACCTTTGGATTTTGGAACACAAAGTTTTTTTCAATGTTATAATTCACTTTTCTCTATAAAATATAGAAAATTAATTAGGTAAAAATTAAATTAAATTATTTTCCATTTTAAAAAAAATATATATCAACCAAACAATAGCTCTTAATTCTCTGTACCACCTTTTTATTCAGTTTGTTTCCATCAGTGTTAAAATTGACTGAACACAATCTTAAGTAGATTAATAGATGTTTAACAAAATCT